GGCCGCGCCCGCGCCTGTGCAGCCTGGGCCTCGGTGCGGCTCCCCCCTCCCGGAAGTGCATCCGCAGCTGGCAGGAGGGGCCCCGTCAGACCCCCAGTCGGCCCGCAGCTGTGCGCTTGACGCCACGGGTGAACGCAGGCCAGGTGCCCCGCGAGGGGCCGGGGAGGCCAGCTTCTGCAGCAGCGGGTTCCTGCAAGTGTGGTTTGGCCTGGTGAGGTTTAGCAGCTTTAACTACAGAAATGCCTCACCACGCACTGTCGCTGTTCCTAAATTGTTGGGCATCAACCAAAAAGTCAGAGCAACCAGAGGGAAGTTCCCGGCCTTTTTCTTTAAAACCACTAAGTTCATCTGTTTTGCACTGATTGTTAATAACCTAATGCAGTCACTTCTGCTTCATCTTAAAATTAATGGTATTTATTTGACGACTCAGTGTAACAGCTTGCTATGCATTTCCTTTTAGAAGGTTCCCGTTTGTAACTTTAAAAACAGGAAAAATGTCAGTCGGCAGATGCATTCATTCTTTTGTTTTTCTTTACGTTAGAGGGCAGGTGAATGGGGGGGACACTCATTCGATGTTGTCTAGAAACAAAGCTTTAATGAAATGTGATGGAGTATTATTAAAGTATGACTCTACTTTTGCAGAAAAAAATCTAAAGATCAGTTTATATAGCTTTATTTTTCACCTTATCGGAATATACAGAATTTTAATATGCATATGTTGTCTCCGACTTAAAATTATAATGTGTGTCTGCATTGCTGTTTAAAATGTCCATTCATTATGTAATGTAGTAAAAGAGAATCTCCAGAAATGTATTTAAAACAGATGGTATCTATAGTTGTCACCATAAATACTGGAATTTACTTTTAAATTATTGAACATAGTAGGTGCGTTTAAGATAATAAGTCAGCCTCCAAACAGTAGTGTTTAACTGATAACAATTCACTAACCTGCTTTGAAAAATTAAATTGTGAATTAAACCAAATCTTAATTTCTGTAAAATTTACTTTGTATGCTATTATTTTTAACTTTTATTTCCGTAGGTAAATGATGTCTTCATAATATTAATTATAATTGGACTTTTCTGCAGATTATCTAAGCAGGAAACCTGAATCTGCTTGCAATAAAGAAGAGAGGGAAAATGTCTGGTTTAGTTTCTTTATAAATAAAAAAATAAAAGCAGAAAAGTTGGTCTTAAATTTCTGCTAAGAGAAGCTGCAGGGTAAAAACACTCTCAAACCAAGTGTTTTTGTTTAGGATGAGGGAGGAGGGCACTGTGGGGCAGCTTCCCTGAGAACGTGTTGGGTGGGGTGGCTCCAGGGTCCCCTGCAACACAGACAGGAGGTGTCGGATTTCTTAACGCTGTCTGTTCCCTCCAGACTCGCCCCCAGACCCCCACGGCCTCGGGCAGTTACACAGAGCAGAAGGGCCAGTTCTTTGTGCCCACCCCCCCACCCTGGCCCTGCACCTCTTCTGGTGGCCACCGCCACCCTCTCCAGCTCCTGGCCTCCTCTGAGAACTAACCTCAAAAACACTCCACAAGTCCTGACGCCAGGTCCCAGTTCCTGGGATTCTGACTCCAGGGGACCAGGGAGGAGCCCAGCTGGGAACCAGCCTCATTGGGCAGGCTGGGGCTGCCCCTTCAAGGCTGACTGAGCTCAGCTCCGAACCCTGGGAGGCACCAGCTCCAACTTGGGGCTTTTTCCCGGCCCCCAAGCAAGCACACAGCGAGGGCAGAGTCACTCACCCTGAGTGGGTGACCTTTGCTGTCGGCAACCAAGTGCCAGCAGCCAGCACAGCTCACAGGCACTCCAGGAAGTGGATGCTGCAGGTGAGTCCGGGTCCCGGGGCCCTTGTTCGCTTTGTCCAGCGTCCACACCTGCCTCAGGTGACCTGAAGGTGTGTCCTCCCGACAGCAGCTTTCGAAGCCGAGTGAGGCCCCCGGCCCAAGGCTGGGCAGGGGAACCGCCAGCGTGCTTGCCTGCGCCCATGTGAGCGCCCAGGCCTTTATTCCTCCAGGTCGTACCCTAACTTGATCAACCCTCACACCTTATTAAGCTTCCTCTTTCATGGAAAAGTCTTGGGAACACAATTTCTCAATCCCTTTCTTGCGTTAAAGGGGATACCACTGAAGCCACGTAAGCACAGGAGCTCTCCCAGGGAAGTGTGCGTTTTCACTATTTGGGCAGTGACTGCGGACACCCGGGGACGCGCACGCAGGTAGCAAGTGCCTGCCTCATCCCTGAGACACGTGGACTGGCCCTAGCCCGCCTGACACAGGCCCAGCAGCAAGCAGAGAAGCCCAGCGTGGACACCAAGCCCCAGAGAGCGGGCAGGCGTCCGGCTACAGCCGGCCCATCCTGCGTCGTCATCTGCTGTTTGACGCCAGGGAAGTTTTCCTGCAACGCCCGGCAGCACCTTATCCAGGGCCCCGCTTCCATCCCTTCATGTGCCTGCTGAGCCTTCACCAAGGCGTGGGAACTCAGAAGCCCCTGGAACCCCTGGGGAGGCTGTGCCTCGCACCCGAGGGGCCTGTGGCAACGCTGTCCCAATGTATTTACCAAACCCTTCGTGAGAAATGGATTCCTGGGTGTACTGCTAACTAAGAAAACGGATTGTCCTTCAAAATTAGTCACACAAAATCATCACTTGAAAACAATTCACTCACCAATGCTCTTATTCACTTGGTTTTTACAAGATCCAAAGAGAGGGAAAGAGTTTTAAGATAATTAAGAGTAACATTTCCTTCGAGACTCAGATCGTTTTAATGCCTCTAGAATTTTAAAAAGACCTACTATAAATAAAGTCTCAAAATATGAGTTAAATATCAGAATAAACATGGTGCTTTAATTAGCTAAGATTCTGTTTTGGTTTTGAATATTATGGTTCCGAAATCTTTACAAACTAGTTGAGCAAAAAGTATACATGACGTCAGGGGCAAATGACAGCTGAAGACACATCATGGCTTCGAATGTATCAAACCTGAAAACGCACTATTCTAGTAGCGCTCACAGGGAGTCTCGCACAGACACGCCGTCCCACTGGGAAGTAAATCTGTGCCTTTCTGTAGCTCACTGTCCCCTGGGGCAATGGTAACAAACCGTCACACGCCCCCCCCCCCCCCCGGCTTAAACACAGGAGCTGATGCTCCCTCAGCCCCAGAGGTCAGGTGTCCGCAGGCCGGTTCCTCCGAGGCTGTGAGGGAGAGTCTGCTCCGAGCTCTCCCAGCTCCTGGAGCTCCCTGGTTTGTGGCCGCTTCACCCCATCTCTGTCTCTGTCTCCACATCGTGCTCCCCGGTGCATGTCTGTGACCCAATGCCTCGTTTTATAAGGACACCAGTCAGAGTTAGGGGCCCACCCAGATGACCTTGC